CTAACGTAGTTTCTAAGCTTTTTCAGAGAATTTCATCGAAAAAGCTGTTTGCACAAAAATCAGAAAATTGGTTTTAGAAGCGCGATCACGGCAAGCCGTGTGCGAAAGCTAAGAAACGTGCGCGACAGACCATTAGATTGTTGGGAACTATACTCGAATCCCTAAACCCTAAATCCCCAAACAAAAGCTACGACATGGGAGCCCTAGGGCAGGGTTTCCTTCAAACCCTGCTGACCTTAAGAAGAGGCGTGTAACCAAACCTGCTTTTGGCCTCCCTTATTAGCTAGCCAGGGCTCTCTCAAGATAGAGGTAGGGTTTAGGGTTTAGGCTTGGGGCCTTAGGCACCCCAGGGATATGAATTTCGGTGTCTACTTTCAGGACTTAGGGCCAGGGAGATATAGGTTTACTAGGTTTGATGATCACACCAACCCTGCCTTATTCTCTGGGCCCTAGCCCTGCTTCTAAACAGTTTAGGGTTCCAGGTTAAGCCTGAATCTCCTAAACACAGATTCAGCCCAAGAACCTGAAGGTTTAGGGTTCAGGGTTTGAAGTTTAAGGTTTGTTAAGGTTTAGGGCTTGGGGTTTAGGACCCCTCAATAAGTTTTTCATAATCTAGTGTAATGATGTAATGGGGGAATCTTTGCTAATGATCACTGCAATCCCCCTAGGCCTGTAACAAAAAACATATTAGCTCAATGATTCTTAGGGTTATACTGTGGAAATCCTAAACCCTGAACCCTAAACCCTCTACGCCCTAAACCCAAACCCGAACCCCCAAACCCTAAACCTAAAGGAGGCTCCAGGTCAGGTGTGTGAGGAATCAAAACGACAGGGAAGCTAGGCTTTAGGGCTTTAGGGCTAGGGTTCAAGGCTTTAGGAGTTGAGGGTTCAGGGCTTTAGGGGCTTAGGGCTTTAGGGGTTTTAGGGTTTGGGGATTTAGGGTTTAGGGATTCTGCAGTGAACACCTTAGCGCCTGAATCTCATTGCTCCCAGCCCCTATTAACCAGAAAGCAAATTGCCTATGCAGCCAGAATTCAGGTCCCCACCACGGGAAAACTCCATGAAAGAGGGGAAGACTGAAGTGGGAATAAAGTTGTGAATTTGGAGTAGGTAAATCCCCGGCGCTCCCAAATAGGACAGACTCCGCAACACGGAGCCTTTTAAGGGAGTTCTAGGGGAGCCCAGGGAAACATTGGATGGTCTGCTCTATCTTGAAACCCAACCATGATATTGAAAAGGGTTAGGGCTACCAAATACTAACCTTTTCTCATAAGTTGCGCTTTGCTCACGGGTTTGGGGTGGACCGCTGAATCAAGTTGTCAACTTGGGCCAAGGGATCGTAGTACCCCAAAAAACAATTCGCGACATCCTCTCGAGCGCACGTAAGACCTGAAGACGGCAAGCGGTAAGCTACTGTGCTTTCAAAACCCTTAGATTCTAAATCCTAAGCCATGTGGGTCTACATAATGTTTCCTTGAGCAAGGGCGCAGGTCCAAACTTCGGTTTATCACGTGTCACAATTTTTTCAGCTTGCACCAGCAACAGCATTTGCATCTTGAACGCTTTGCAAATCCTGAACCGGGAGGCTCGGGAGCCGGGGCGAAAGGTTGTCTGATGCCTTCAGATTCGGTACGAGGGATCATACGCTCGCAGCACGGATTATGTTGGGCTTATTTCGGGGATGCGGGGTGCTATGGGGAGCCACTGGCCCAAGAATGTGAAACGCAAGTCTGAGCATGCCGAATTAGCGCGCAGGTCCTTAACATCTGCGTTTCCATGGGTCAGGCATCTTCCAATCCATTTCTGGCCTGGCGCGTGCTGAGGCTTGAAGGTTCAGGCCCAGGGGTAGGGTGTGGGATTTCAGGTTGACCCTGAACCCTGAACCCCGGGGTGTAGAAACTAAATTTAACACCCAGAGTTACAGTGTGTTTTGACCCTGATCCATGATCAGGCGGTCTACCATTGGGCTATGGCTTCGGAATAACAACAGAGCGAGCCCCTGATTCCTAAACCCTATAAAACCTAAGCCGTTAGCCAAGAAAAGGATGGCTGAGGGATCCGGATTTCGGGATGAAAGCACAGTGATTTCGTGTGCTCAGGCGCTTCCTTAGTATGACTCAATAGCAGCATCGAGGATGTTTGTAAAGGGTGCCCACCCTAAACCCTAAACCCTAAGCCTGTATCGAGATCTCAGATATTGGGCTCCTACTTCAGTAGTTCCACAATCCTTACTAGACGGACTCCGTAAAGAAGACCTGAACTCCAAAATCGAGTTTGCAAAGTGGGAGGTTGAAACGTGTTGGGCAAAGTCAGTTTCGTACGAAGAAACGAAGCTACCATTTCTGCTTAAAACATCCCTAAACCTAAGTCACAAACATTCCGAAACCGCAAACCTAAATCCTAAAACCTACGCCTCCGAGTATACTCGTCTAACCCTATTGTGTATATATCCCTGAGAATGCACATATTTAATATGAATATGAGCCGCCCTATACCCTAATAAAACCTCATGCTCGACCCGTCAGGGCTTGGGGTTTGGGGTTTATGGTTCACCCCCACTTGGCAGGGTGTGCTCATGAGGATATTTGCCCTAAACCCTAAACCCTAAAGTCAACCAAAACCTCCCGAGTTTCCGGGCTTGGGGTTAAGACATCCTGGCTTGAGCTTCAATCCGAATGTGTCTATGAGGGAGTTGTTCTTTGTACCCTGAGGGTCTGTACCCTTGGGTTTGGATCGCTAAGGAATGGAACGCGGCCCTTGATTAGGGCAATTGGGACCAAAAACCCAAGATAACAAACATTTTAAAGTTACAAGCCCTAAACCCTAAAGCCAAATCCCTCCACACCTATGAACCCCCCCCCCACAACCCCTTATAATCCCTTCAAAGGAACCATTAGAACGCTCCACATATGAGCCATGGTCTAAACTCCTTGTATCCCCCCTAATAAGCTCCATAACAATCCCCTATATAATCCCCTATAGAACCCCCGTTAAAGGAGTTAAGATCCTAAACCCCAAACCCTAAACCCTAAATAAAGGGGCTATATAATCCCCTATATAACCCCCCTTGACGGAGGTTGGACTATGGCTCATATGAGCTATAATCTAAACTCCTAGTATCCCCCCTGACAAGCTCTATAGTAGTCCCATATATACTTCCCTATATAACCCCTTTAAGGAGTTTGGACTATAGCTCATATGGGTCTTGGCTGTTGTTCCAGGGTGCCTTTACACCGGGCTCGGAATGTGAGGGGGCATCTAAACCCTAAACCCTCATGGGTCTTGGGCTTGGGGTTTATTGTTTAGGGTTTAGGGGTTTAGGGTATAAGGTTCAGAATTCAGGGGTGTAGGGTTTTGGGGTTTAGGGTTTAGGGGTTTAGGGCTTATAGTCCCCCTTAGATAGAATATGGCTTTGGGTATTTTGTAAAATCCCCATATACCCCAT